GGTTTCACCGTGTTAGCCAGGATGGTCTCGATCTCCTGACCTCGTGATCCGCCCGTCTCGGCCTCCCAAAGTGCTGGGATTACAGGCTTGAGCCACCGCGCCCGGCCTTAGCCACGTATTTTCATCATGTGCTTTCACTTTTAAATAAAAGAATGTCTTTATTCTTTAAAACGTTTGCTTAAGATATCAAAGCAGGTAATATTTTTAAATAGTGGGTCTTAACTCCTGGCTGTACGTTGGAATCGCTCAGAGACTTAAATAACATAAAATGTTGATGCCCAACCCCCATCCCAGATTAAATGAGTCAAAATCTCTGTTGGTGGGACCTGGGCTTTGGATTATTCTTGAAAAATTCCCAAGATTACTCTTACTTAAAGGCATAATTGGAAAGTACCATTTTAAAGCAACTTTCTAAGTCAGCATTTCTAAATGTGGTTTACTGTCTACACCACATTGTTGGTGCAAAATTCTTACGTGGATAGGAAATAAATTTGGTAGGTTTCTAGCATTTTGAAAATACAAGTAATTAGGATAGAAAAATATCAGAGTGGACCCGGCGCGGTGGCTCACGCCTGTAATCCCAGCACTTTGCGAGGCCGAAGCGGGAGGATCATGAGGTCAAGAGATTGAGACCATCCTGGCCAACATGGTGAAACCCTGTCTCTACTAAAAATACAAAAATTAGCTGGGCATGGTGGCATATGCCCGTAGTTCCAGCTACTCAGGAGGCTGAGGCAGGAAAATTGCTTGAACCAAGGAGATGGAGGTTGCAGCGAGCCGAGATTGTGTCACTGCACTCCAGCCTATCGACAGAGTGAGACTCCATCTTAAAAAAAAAAAAAAAAGAAAATATTAGAGTGTATTCATATTTTTATTTCTGGGATGTGTGTTTGGGAGGGGTTGTGTTTAATGAGTGGTCATGTAAAATACAGGATTTCATACCGTGAGCCACAATCTGTTTGAAAAACAGTTCTAAACAAACCTAAGGTGCTATTAGGTATTCTTTTAAAACATTTTTAACTGACAAGTAAAAATTGTATATATGTATATAAAATGTACACCATGATGTTTTGATATATGTACACATTGTGGAATAGCTAAGTCAAGTTAGGTATTTTTCCCTACTGCAAAGTTGATCAAGCAGTAATATTGATACAGGAGTTAAGAAGAAATTACTTAGGCAGATAGTGAGGGCACAGAACTCCTCAGTAAGGTTTTCCTTTTAATGAAAAGTAGCCCCAAATAATTTTCTAATTCAAACAGCAGCCTGTAAAATGAAATTGAGCTACACACATAGATGCCACAGTTATGCCAAGCATGTTCAAAATGGCGGCTCCATCTTCCTGTCTCTGACAGCCACGTGCACAGGAAGAAGCAGACAAGGTGGCACTGGCCAGGGGGAATGTTCATTTGCATAGTATGATTAGGGTGGGTCTGCCAGCCTTCTCCTTGTGCTATGTAAACATCATACCTGATCAAACCAATCTGTGAGCCCTGTGTAAATCAGACACTGCCTCCTCAAGCCTGACTATAAAATCTGGCACATCCACTGCCAGCCTTTTCCTCTCCAAAGTCCCCTCTCTCTCACTAAAGAGAGAGCTGTTTTCCTTTCTCTTTCTTTCTTTTGCCTTTTAAACCTCCACTCCTAAATTCCTCATGTGCGTTTGTGTCCTAACTTTTCTTGGCGTGAGATGATGAACCCTGGATATTTATCCCAGACACTGTAGCTGCTTCAATATCATACGATGGTTGCAATGCCTGTGTCTGAATCCTGGCTTCTCCACTCACCAGCTGTACGACTTCAGGCAAATTACCTAACCTCTTTGTGTCTATTCCCTCATCATAAAAATCTCTTATAGTGCTTGTAGAGGAGTTGAGCAAACTGCACAGTCAGAGGGCACAGTCCTTCAAAGACTGCTCTTCAAACACCAGCTGCAAGTTTGAAGGGCCCCAAGGCCACCCTCAGTACAGACCAACGGGCTACTAATTCAGAGGTGCCCATGACCACCGTCAGGATACAAATTAGAACTAGCCAGAGGAAGAGAATGTGTATGTCGAAGTCTGGCAGGGCTCCAAATGCAGAACCGCTGTCATCCTCAGGCTGTGTTCCCCTCCCATCAACAAAGGGGACAATACTGAGAAGGAAACTCACCCAGCTCTTATGTACAGAATTTTTATTAGGGCTTCATAGCATAGGCACAATTGATTGAATTATTGTCCACTTGGTTGAACCCAACTCCCAGTCTCCCTCCCCTCCCTGGAATTCAGGCTGAAGTGACGCGGCCCAAAGCCCCAGTCTTCTAATCACTTGGTCTTCTGTCATGGCCAGTCCCACCTTGAATCATCTTGTTAACATAAACTATCTTGTAACCTCACCACGAATGGCCTTGTTACTGATAACTATCAGGTGTGGTCCAAGGTGCTCATCATGAATAACAAAAACATTCCCACACCTGGAAAAAAAAAAATCTCAGGAGTTTGCCAGGTGCAGTGGTTCATGCCTGTAATCCCAGCACTTTGGGAGGCCGAGGCGGGCAGATCGCTTGAGTCCAGGAGTTTGAGACTAGCCCGGGTGACACAGCAAAACCCCGTCTGTACAAAAAGTACCAACATTAGCTGAGCATGGTGGCATGACATGTAGTCCCAGCTACTCGGGAGGGTGAGGTGCGAGGATCGTTTGAACCTGGCAAGTGGAGGTTGCAGTGAGCTGAGATCACACCACTGCATTCCAACCTGGGCAACAGAGTGAGACCCTGTCTCAAAAACAAAAAACAAAACAAAACCAAAAGCAAATCTCAAGGGTCTAGAAATGACCCCCCGAATGAGGACAAAAGCCAGACCTCACTTTGGAGGTCAAATTCCTTACTAAACACTGGTCGTGAGGATTAAACGAGTATACGTATATGGGAAACTCTTAGAACATTGCCTGCTATGTGGTAAGTGCTCCTAGATACTATTACTGTTGTTCTTAATCTTTGCCCCTTTTATTTTCAGTCCTTGACTTCTCAGAGAGCCTTGTTGCTGTTTTAATTTTCACTTTAATCTAGCCAACAGCCTTCGCTTTCCTAGTTTCTCTCTCTCATTGAGCATAAGGGAGAAATTACTTGGCTGAAAGTGGGAAGGAAAGGGTAGGAGGAAAGCTAGAGGCTTTTTAACCTCCCCCAACACACCCTTGTTGCTTCCATTCTCAGCTGTTATCCCCTTTCCCTTCTTCACTTCTCTCACTTCATTCTTAACCACCCCTCCCCTCTCTCCTACCTTTCCTTTTCTTTTTTTTAATTAAAAAAAAACTTTTATTTTAGGTTCAAGCGTCCACGTGCAGGTTTGTTATATGGGTAAATTGTATGTCACAGGGGGGTTGGTGTACAGACTTTGTCACCCGGGTAATAACCATACAACTGATAGGCAGTTTTTCAGTCCTCATCCTCCTCCCACCCGCCACCCTCTAGTAGGCTCCAGTGTCTGTTGTTCCCCTCTCTGTGTCCATGTGTACTCAATGTTTTGCTCCCATTTCTGAGTAACAACATGTGGTGTTTGGTTTTCTGTTCTTGCATTAGTTTGCTTATGGCTTCCACTGCAGCTTCATCCATGTTGCTGCAAAGGACATGATCTGATTTTTTGGTTTGTTTTGAGATGGAGTCTCGCTCTTTTGCCCAGGCTGGAGTGTAGTGGCACAATCTCGGCTCACTGCAATCTCTGCCTCCTGGGTTCAAGAAACTCTCCCGCCTCAGCCTCCTCAGTAGCTGGGATTGTAGGCACTACCACGCCCGGCTAATTTTTGTATTTTTAGTAGAGATGGGGTTTTGTCATGTTGTCCAGGGTGGTCTCAAACTCCTGACCTCAAGTGGTCCTCCTGCCTCGGTCTCTTAAAGTGCTAAGATTACGGGTGGGAGCCACCGAGCCTGGCCAGCTGTTCCTATTCTTGATCTCCACAACTTCCACATCATTTATGTTACCCAGTTAGACCGTGTAGGATATAATTTTGCAACCACAAGGTTAGAGATTATTACCATTTGTCCCTCAATCTCTTACCAATAAACAGAACACAGGAAGCATTACTAATAAATTTACCAAAATTCTCTCTTACTAAAACATACACACTAAGTTATAGGTTTAGAACAAAGTTTTAATGATGTAAGCACATGTTAATTTGTAAATAAACTGAGCTCACACCCTGCCATTGTACCCAAGGAACAGTGCTTCTATTCTTTAACTTATGTTGCCTGCAAAATAAAGATCCTTGGATAGAAATCTTGTGTGATGGGGCTGGGTATGGTGGCCCATGCCTGGAATTCTTTGGAAGGCTGAAGCAGGAGGATCATTTGAGGCCAAGAGTTCGAGAAAGTCTATGTGATATAAAGCAGGTGCCTAAAATTTGCCCACATCTCCAACTCACTTATCAAATGTTTTTTTCAAGAGACTGGAACTTCTAGTGCATAAATACAGTTTTGGTTTAAAAATCCAGAATCTGGAAAAAATGGCTCTACTTAAAAAATGACTGGTTTTGGTAGTTAAACAGTAATTTCAAGGGCTCTTCAGTGACATTAGAAATCATTCAATCCAATTCCTTCCTTTTAAATGTAAGGAAGCTGTCAAAGAAGAAGAGAAGTCCTATGCTGTGATTTTATGTTTTGAAGCTATCAGAACCTCTTAAAAAATTAACCACTGTAGCAGGCAGAGAGCAGAGGGTCTGCTTCTTCAAATATTGGCGATCACGCCATGGTTTTATATTGTTTTGGAAATAACTTTTAGTTGAAAAACTTTGAGGAGTTCATTTTAAGTTCAGTTACAGCTGGGGGGATATAATTTATTGTAATTTATTAGTCGTTGAATATCCATGTGCTCCCCACACTCCCCAGCTCCCTTGCAGTTAGGAGGGCCTATGCGACTCGTTTTGACAAATGAACCGTGAGTGGAGATGACATGTGTCACTTCTGGGACAAAGCACAAAGAGAAGAGCACTTTTTCCTTCTTGATGTCTCTCTCTTTTCCTGCCGCAGTGACAGCCGAGGCCAAATGTGGAGATGGCATAACCAGAAGAGGGAACGAACTGGCCTGGATGTGACTCATACTTGGAAGGGAGCTGTCTGGAAAGGCCACAGTACCTGCAGCCAACTTTGTGTGAGTGAAAAATAAACTTAAATAGGTTAAACCAATACAATTGGGGGATTGTTATTGCAACGTAACATAGTCTATTCCTGGTTAATGAATTAACAATGCCCTCTCTTACAGTAGCCGCGTTTTAAACTTCCCACACTTATCTAAACCGTAGTGTATAATCTCTGACATTCACACTAATTTAAAAGTTTAATATTCACACAGGGAAGACATCTCTTGTCTAAAAATTTTGATGACAAGGGAATTATTTATTTATTTATTTAGAGACAGGGTCTCACTATGTTGCCCAGGCTGGACTCAAACTCCTGGGTTCAAGTGATTCTCCTGCCTCAGCCTCCTGAATAGCTGGTATTATAGGTGCATGCCACCATGCCCAGCAGAATCATTATTTTTTCTTTTCTTTTTTTGAGACAGTCTTGCTCTGTCGCCCAGGCTGGAGTGCAGTGGCACCATCTCAGTTCACTGCAATCTCCACCTCCCGGGTTCAAGCGATTCTCCTGCCTCAGCTTCCCGAGTAACTGGGACTACAGGCGCATGACACTACACCTGGCTAATTTTTGTTTGTTTGTTTGTTTGTTTTGAGGTAGAGTCTCACTCTGTCGCCCAGGCTGGAGTGTAATAGTGCAGTCTCAGCTCACTGCAACCTCCGCCTCCTGGGTTTAAGCAATTCTCTGCCTCAGCCTCCTAAGTAGCTGGGACAACAGGCACCCGCCACCACACTCAGCTAATTTTTTGTATTTTTACTAGAGACAGGGTTTCACCTTCTTGGCTAGGCTGGTCTTGAACTGACCTTGTGATCCACCCACCTCGGCCTCCCAAAGTGCTGGGATTACAGACGTGAGCCACCGTGCTGGGCCTAATTTTTGTATTTTTAGCAGAGATGGGGTTTCACCATGTTGGCCAGGCTGGTCTCGAACTCCTGGCTTCAAGTGATCTGCTTGCCTCAGCCTCCACAAGTGCTGGGATTACAGGCGTGAGCTGCCATGCCTGGCCAATTTTTTCATCTTGAGTAAGAAGAGAGCTCAAAGAAAAATGTGTCACCTATGATTGATACAAGACATAGTCAAATTTATTCTTAAGATTCTGACTCCATCTGACCAAAATTATTTTTGTTTAATTTATTAGGTTATACTTTTTTTTTTTTTTTTTTTTGAGACGGGGTTTCGCTTTTGTTGCCAAGGCTGGAGTGCAATGGCGCAATCTCAGCTCACCGCAACCTCTGCCTCCTAAGTTCAAGTGATTCTCCTGCCTCAGCCTCCCGAGTAGCTGGGATTATAGGCATGCGCCACCATGCCTGGTTAATTTTGTATTTATAGTAGAGACAAGGTTTCTCCATGTTGGTCAGGCTGATCTCGAACTCCCGACCCCAGGTGATCCACCCACCTTGGCCTCCCAAAGTGCTGGATTACAGGCATGAGCCACCACACCCAACCTTATACTTACACTTTTATTATCTTTATCAGCACAGACTAAGACATTTTGGAGGATAGCACAGTTCTTTCAGGATTAAGTGATTTATTTTATATTTTTTCCCTTTAATATTTTCCTTTAATCAATTAATTTCCTTAAATTTCCTTAAAGAGAAGGGGGATCCTGGTGCGATGACTCACAGCTGTAATTGCAGCATTTTGGGAGGGCGAGACAGGACGATCACTTGAGCCCAGGAGTTCGAGACCAGCTTGGGCAACATAGTGAGACCCCCATCTCTACAGAAAATTTTAAAATGAGGCAAGAGGATGGCCGGAGTCCCAGAGATTGAGGCTGCAATGACCAGTGATTGTGCCACTGCCTTCCTGCCTGGGTGAGGAAGCAACATCCAGCCTTGGAAAAGAAAAAAAGAGAGAGAGAATTGGGGTGGGTAGGCGGTTAATTGTAATTTGTTTTAACAAAATTGAGAGTCAAAATGTAGGGAGTTAGCCCTAAACCATGTAACAAATTAACGAAGAAGGCAACACTGAAACCCAGCTCTCATTGTTTCCGTTGTGTCTATGCTTCCTCTAAAAGTCACAGAATAGGCCAGATATGGTGGCTCACGCCTGTCATCCAACATTTTGGGAGGTCGAGGAGGGCAGAACACTTGGGCCCAGGAGTTGGAGACCAGCCTAGGCAACATGATGAAACCCTGTCTCTACAAAAAGATACAAAAATTAGCCAAGCATGGTGGTGTGCACCTGTGCTCTCAGCTACTCAGGAGGCTGAGATGGGAGGATCACTTGAGCCTGGGAGGCGGAGGTTGCAGTGAGCAGAGATTGTGGCCCTGCACTCCAGCCTGGGCAACAGAGCAAGACCCTGTCTCAAAAAAAAAAAAAAAAAAAAGTTACAGAATGGTAAGGAGGAGGAGAAGAAAAAATTGAGGTCAGACTTCCATTTCTAGGAATGTGGTCAGCCATTTAGAGAAATGCTCCATTGAAGACAACTATAAGGCTGGACAAAATCTAAAACCATCTTCCTAAAAACAGCAGAGACAATAGTAAGGATTTCCCAGGTTAAGATCTGGAGAAGAAAGAAATCCATAGATGAGCAGGGGTACGAGTGCCACCTTTGTCCTGAGGATATTCAGTGACCCAGGTCAGGTGGCTGAGAGACTTAACAGTGCCTTTGCAGTTAGGAGAGCAAAAGTTGGAGTCTGGGGCCCATCCAGGAAGGGTAACCTGCACCTTCAGTTGGCACTAAAAAGACAGACACTGGAAATCAGAATGAATTTGAAAATAAACTAGCTGTTCCATGTAGCGCAGTCTGTCTTTGAATCATCTCGGTAGCTCAGAAAATTTCAAGCTTAGAAACTGAATTAGGGTAATCTTGGATGATTAGTTTCCCTTGAATGCCTGGTAGAAGCAATATGAATTCTTTTTGTAGAAAGAGAATATCATAGTAGGCCTGAAATTATTATTATTGTTGTTGTTACTATTTTTCGAGATGGAGTCTCGCTCTGTCACCCAAGCTGGAGCATAATGGCGTGATCTCAGCTCACTGCAACCTCTGCCTCCCGGGTTCAAGCGATTCTCATGCCTCAGCCTCCCAAGAAGCTGGGATTACAGGTACCTGCCAACACGCCCGGCTAATTTTTGTATTTTTGGTAGAGTCGAAATTTCACCATGTTGGCCAGGCTGGTCTCAAACTCCTGACCTCAAATGATCCACCTGCCTCGGCCTCCCAAAGTGCTAGGATTACAGGTGTGAGCCACCGCACCCAGCCTGAAATTATTTTTATAAATAATTAAAAATATTATAGTCAGGACACAGGAAAAAATAAGGAAGCATACAAAATGATAAAACACCATAAACAAGAACAAGAAAATACAAGCGACTACAGAAACAGACCCTCACGGATATCAGATACAGGTTGTGAAGCAGCTGTGCTTATCACGTTTAAGTAGACCAAAATGAAGCTTGTCTATCTTAGCAGAGAACTGTAAAGTATTTAAAATAAATAGAAATTCAGTTTTTTGTTCGTTTTTTTGAGACAGTCTTGCCCTGTCACTTAGCCTGGAGAGCAGTAGGCTAATCTCGGCTAACTGAAACCTCCACCTCCTGGGTTCAAGCAGTTCTCCTGACTCGGCCTCCGGAGTAGCTGAGACTACAGGCATGGGCCATCACACCCGGCTAATTTTTGTATTTTTAGTAGAGATTCACCATGTTGGTCAGGCTGGTCTCAAACGCCTGACCTCAAGTGATCTGCCTGCCTTGTGAGCAGATGCTGGGATTACAGGTGTGAGCCACCACGCCTGGCCCCCAAATAGAAATTCTAATAGTGAAAAATAGAGGAACCTAAACTATGAAATCAATGGATGAATTTCAGAACACATTGGAAACAGTTAAGAAAGAATTTCTGTACATGAGGACAGATCAGAAGAAACCATTTACAATGAAGAGAGAAACGAATGAACCAAGAAAAGGGACAGAATAGAATGAAAATGTCTAACCTGTTCAACCAAAGTCTTGGAAGAAGTATAAGAGAATTAAATAGAAGCAACACTTAATGAGATAATAGCTGAGAATTTTTCTTTTTTTTCTTTTTTTTTTTTTTTTTTTTTGAGACAGAGTCTCACTCTGTTGCCCAGGCTGGAGTGCAGTGGCGCGATCTCAGTTCACTGCAACCTCCACTTCCCAGATTCACGCCTTTCTCCTGCCTCAGCCTCCCGAGTAGCTGGGACCACAGGCGCCTGCACCACACCCGGCTAATTTTTTTTGTATTTTTAGTAGAGACGGGGTTTCATTGTGTTAGCCAGGATGGTCTCGATCTCCTGACCTTGTGATCCACCCACCTCAGCCTCCCAAAGTGCTGGGATTACAGGCGTGAGCCACCGCCCCCAGCCGAGAATTTTTCAACTCTATGCATGAACATGGAAATTTCAGAAACACAGTGAATTACAAAAAGAACATTCAGAAAGAAAGCCACACATAGACACGTCATAGGGAAACAAACCAAAGACAAAGAGAAAATAGTAAGAGCAGCCATAGGTAAAAAGACAGTTTATCGTCAAAGAAACCATAGTTAGGCTGGGCACAGTGGCTCCCACCTGTAATCCCAGAACTTCGGGAGGCCAAGGCAGGTGGATCACTTGAGGCCAGGAGTTTGAGACCAGCCTGGCCAATATGGTGAAAACCCGTCTCTACCAAAAGTACAAAAATTAGCCAGGTGTGGTGGCGCGTGCCTGTGGTCCCAGCTACTCAGGAGGCTGCAGCATGGGAATTGCTTGAACCCGAGAGGCAGAGGTTACAGTGAGTCAAGATAGAGCCACTGCACTTCAGCCTAGTGATAGAGTGAGCTTCTGTCTAAAAAAAAAAAAAAAAAAAAGCCATAGTTTGACTGACTACTGTCTCAGCAGCAATTATGGAAGCCAAAAGATTAAGGATTGATACCTTGAAAATGCTAAAGTAAATAACTGCCAACCTAGAATTATGTACCCAGTGAAAATATCACTGAAACACCATGTGAAAACAGCTTTAACTCAGTAATTAAATCTTTTCCATTCTGAGACCTGCTGCAGGTGCAAATCTGTG